TTTTTTTTTTTTTAAAGACTGTTTGTTATGCATTCATCAAATCGCAGTGTTCCCAGAAAGCCTGAATGTGTTATTGGCATAAAAAAGTCCCTAGAGGTTAGTATATATTCCAGTCACCACAAATCATATGCCTAAGCACCAGGTCAGGAAGACCTGAAAACCCTGAAACATACTAGCCTTCCTTCCCCCTAAACTTCCCTCTGAGAAGACACCAAGGCATTCCACTATAATGTTCAATTCAGCTCAAAAAAAGAACAAAACAAAAACCCAACCACACCTGTTACTCTTAAAAAGGCTCTTCCTTGGAAATCTCATCTCAAGTTTCCAGAAAGACCTACTTTAAGTTGTCAGCAGTATAATTGGGAGCAGACCAAATAGATTTTATTTTCTGGCTTCTGAAATTATAAGAAGCAGAACAGAACCTAGGAACTAATATAGCTGCCCATGTGGAATGGCATGCAGCCATGACACACAGCCATGATCCTATCAGATTTTACAAGTTGAAGAAGGGATGAGTCAGTATTTGGGTGGGACATCTCCCAAAACCACCTACCTACCTGCTGCAAGAAGTATTGTGGGTGATTATTCAATAGGTAGCGTTCTCCCCTTTGAGAAACTGCTGAACCAGTTCTCCGGCATGGTGCTAGTGGGCACTGTGTTACAGAAGGTATCGTTTTTCTTGAGCACTTATAAAACTTTTTGTCAGAACAGGGACATTAGTTCTAGTTCCTTCACCAAATTCCAACTTCAGAATCTGCATTATAATAATATATGGAGACACACCTATCTCATAGAACTAGAAGGGACCTGAAAGGCCATTGAGTCCAATCCCCTGCTTTCACTAGCAGGACCAAGTACTAATTTGCCCCCAGATCCCTAAGTGACCCCCTCTAGGACTGAACTCATAACCCTGGGTTTAGCAGGCCAATGCTCAAACCACTGAGCTATCCCTCCCCCTGCAATTTCTACCTATTTACATTTCTCCACGCAATTTCAATTAGATAGTGGCATTCTTTATCCTTCATTGTTGTGCGATGTTTCTGTGTGCTGTTAAACTGCTGGAATTTTTCACCCCAGAAGCAGTTTCATTTCAACTAGTGCATAAAATGATCCCTGCGTACAGTTTAATGGGCCAGTTTTGCTCCCAGTAAGGCCCCATTCCTCCAAGTGGCTCCATGTGGGTGGACCCACCATGGTGTTAATACAATGTTTGTTAATATGAGAGTTTAAAATTTTCAAGTAATGAAGTGTTAAAGTTAAGGCTCCAATAGCAACATTAACTCATATTGCATACATGCAGCATCTTCTCTTCCTGCCTTTCTTGCTAAATGGTTACCAGTAACTTAATATAATTCTGTTTATATTAAATATGTCACAAAATGTACAGCATACATAAGGTGCCCAAATTAATGTTGCTGTAAGATTCTTGGTCTAGATCCAGCAGTGTGATGCAGCTGCTTTGTGGTGTAGTGCTGATGCAAAGTGACCTGCAAGCTGCTATTGCTGATCACGGGAGGATCAACCCAGCAGCACAGGCAATCCTCCAGTAGTATAGAATCCACCTCAGCTATACCAATATAGAGGGCATGGCCAAGGCATTCCTGCTGATCCTTGGCTGCTATTCAAGACCCTTGAAGTGAAGCATAACTAAGCTATACAAGCTCCTTAAATAGCACAGTTTAGAGCAGCTTTCACCTGTTCTGATTTACACAAAGGTCTTCGTGCACAGCTAGCCTAGAATCAAGGGCACAAATCCAACCTTTGCAGTCCTTGCACCTGAGCTGTGCTGGGTGCTTTTTGGTGGCAGCCTAAGATTTGGGCCCTTGATTTTTGTATTTCCTGACTTTTGTTAATTTTAAGTATGCAGACTTCTCTAAGCTAGGTTGTGGTTTAATATGGTCATGGCCATAATTCCTTCACAAAACCACAGTGTTTGCATTCTAAGTCTCCGCGTTCAGCCCTTCGGGGATTTCTGTGTGAAAGTGCAGCAATATAGTTTCAAAACAGGAACAATGTTTATTTGTCCTCTAGTGTGCTCAACAAGGCCTGAAGGGAGTTTGCCCAGATTTAAACCAAAAAAAAGAACCCCCAAAACCTTCCAGGCAGAGCTTGGAAACTTTCAGCCCAAGACGGGTTTTTATTGAAAAGTTTAAGCATCTGAAAACCAGGAATTAAAGAAATTATTTTGCAACTTAACGCTAGCAGGGTCCAACCAAGCAACCGATACAAGACAACCCAGATTTTACCTAGCTCTGTATGACTGGAGTGGGGACAGTTGTGTTAGGAGCCTTCCCCAAACTTCCTGTGCCCAGGTTGACCTTTACTACAGTCCTTGTGCTCCCCTGATTAACAGAATGCCATGAGGTCAGCACAGCTGCCAGCTCAAGCCTCTCCAAAGGAGGTGGAATCATAACCCCACCCTCCTTTCCACCGGTCAGCAGGTACAGAAGCAAGTGAATACATTACCCAGGAGAAGGGTGGTTCAGTGCTCTGGTTCCCCCTGCTCTCTCAGGAGCAACAGGTGGCATAATGCTTACACAAGGCACAATGCCCCTCCAAGGTCCCACTGAGGTAGGGTATTTCTGCATAGTCCCTTCAATGCCCGGCTGTGCCCGAAATGATTAAAGTTCTAAGGGCAATGTTTTCAAAAGTACTTAAAATCACTTTTGAAAATTGGACATAAGAGCTGCCATTCTTGGTCAGACCATGATCCATCTTGCCCAGTATCCTGGTTCTGACAGTGGCCCATAACAAAGCTTCCTGGGGAGCATACAGAACAGAACAATTATGAAGTGATCCACCCACCTTCCACTCCGGCTTTTGGCAGTCAGAGGTTTAGGGTCACTCCAAGTATGGGATTGTGTCCCTGATCATCTTGGCTAATATCCATTGATGGACCTATCCTCCATGAACTTATCCAGGTCTTTTTTGAAACCACTTACACTTTTGGCCATTACCACACCCCAGACATTGAGTTCCACAGGTTAGTTGTGCACTGTGTGAAAAAGTACTGCCTCTTGTTAACATTAAAACTGCTGCCTATTAATTTCATTGAGTAACCACTGTGTTTTGTATTGTGTGAAAGGGAAAATAACACTTCTCTATTTCCACACTATTCATGATTTAGGCTCTAAGTCACTTACATGCTTTTGAAAATGTTATCCTAAAGTATGTTACTTCAAAAATATCTACATAGAACATGTGCAGCATCTTTCACAGATGTCTCTATAGGTAGTGTGTAGAATATTGATTTATTCTACGGTAATGTCATGGATAAAATGAATGACCCCGCATGCATTAGTCTTAAAATCCTAGTTTATTCATAGCAGAAAATATTCAGCATTTTTACTCAGGCTATTATTGCTCATAATTTGCTTTTATCTTTTAAGTATAGTGATGAATGAAGAAGTGAATAATGCTTCTCCTTTATCTCCTTGCTTCTACAGGAGGAATATTTGAAACTGTGGAAAATGAACCTGTTAATGTTGAAGAATTAGCTTTCAAGTTTGCAGTCACCAACATTAACAGAAACAGAACACTGATGCCTAATACCACATTAACCTACGACATCCAGAGAATTAACCTCTTTGATAGTTTTGAAGCTTCAAGACGAGGTAATTATCTTAATATTTTAATCTTCTGTAATTTGTATGTTCTGTACAGTCTTATGCTTTTACGGTAGCTCAGATATTTATAGACAAAGTATAGCAGGAAAATTCAGTCTACAGCATTATTGGGAGATAGTAGTTAAAGCTGGAAGACACTTATAATTCTTATCTAGTCTTTGATACGCTACCTATATTCTAGCTAAACTCTAACACCACCAAATGGAAGATGGCAGGGCCAACCCAATTCTCTTTAAAAAAATGGATTCACCATAGAATTCTGAAGAAAATGAAAGCAGTCTAGAAGAGAACAGTGAGATGTCATATCTCATAATTAAGACACATTGATATACATAATTCATGCCAAATTAATTCCAAGGTACTAAGCACAGGGTGAATGAAGAGGTTATCCTGAAATGTTAACACTGCGTAACAGCAGATGGGTTGCTCTATTCTAACAATTAATAAAAATTGGGCTTGAAAAAGTAAGAAATATATATTCTCATCCATTTATTTTCCCTGAATGGAAGACAAGTGTCTGACACCTCATCTAACATACATGCAGACTAAAAGGCAAAAATTCATTTGGGACTGTCACTTTTTCCTTGGATACAGCCTAATCATTCATTTCTAGAAGACACCCTCAAAGTACGCTAAAAGTCCATAGACAGTAGTTGAGTTCCCTGAATTAAGACACTGTCACAAAATTTGATGGAAACAAGACTAGAAAAAAGAGCCATAAATCACCAAGGATTGAGGATGTGCTTTGCAGTTCATTCATTAAAACAATGTGGGTTACTGTAAAAACAAATGCATAAGATAAGTTTGCTAGAAGGCAAGCTCAGGATTACTGCAATAGATATGCAGACCCATATTATGAGGCTTGTTAGGAACAATGACTTGCTGACACCCTTTCAGATGTCCAAATTATTAGTATATTTGCCTCATAGCACTCAATGTAATTTATTAGTCAACTGAAAAAACAACAACAAAAACAGTGAGCCGCTTCAGACAAAACATAAAATTCCCTTGTAATTTTTTCTTTGTAGTTTTTCTTGTTAATTTGCCTTTCAAATATCATTTCTGGACTCATGCATACGACATAGGTCGTGGTAGGTTTCGACAGACAAAGAATTTCAGATTCCATATAAAGATCCTACATTGTAGCTACTGAGAACTAGATCTAATCAGAAGATTAGAAATACTGTTAAACTCATATTCCAAACCACATAAAATAAAAATGTTAACTTTTTGTCCTCATAAAACATTGACAGCATCTTTATCATTTAGACATCAATAACCACAATCCTTTAAGAAGGTTTGCAAATTAAACCTTAGAAAGCCATGTTTCATGCTGTGTGTGTACATAGTGCTGCTCATTTGTAAGCTGAGAAAAGAAAAAGTGCTTGATTTTCTGTCACATTGGACTAGTATCACAGATCAAAATATTAGTAGAGAAGAGCTCAGTTCATTGTAAGTGTTTGGAAATTTTAAGCATTTCAAGTAATTGCAGTTTATTTTATGTTTGTTCAACATTTCCACCAAAGAATCAGATCACTGCAGGCCACACAGAATGGTTTCACCCCAGTCCATAAAGATAGAAATATTTGCAGCTAGATTTCTATCACATACACAAGAGCTGTGAATTTTGTTGCATTTTAGAGTGATTAGGCTGAGGAAAAGAGGAGAGGAACAGAGAGGTGTAGAGCAACATGTGGGTGGGTTTTTCTAGTTTATCGCTAGAAATAGTATATGTTATGGTGATTGGAGTAAAGGTATCCTGCTTTGATATGTTTTATTTCCAGAACAATA